CAAGCAGAATCTTCTGTTTGGAATAAACACAAAATAATCAGAGTTTAGCAAGGATAAAAAAGAAGCAACACCGAAAGTCAGCTATTCATAAAAGCTGAAAATCAGTCAGGAAAAAGAAAAAAGAGTGGGCTATCATTTGTGGCAGTGAAAATCCTTCCTTAAAATGCAGAGACATCTAAGAACCAATTTCTGTGAGTACTGCACAGCCCAGATTGCAAAACAGGCTCTGCAAATACTACAACACTCCTTGTAAACCAAGCTTATTGGCACATCTGAAATACTGTATTAATTCTTGATTATCTTTTTAATTGAAAGCGTTTGGCAGAAATAGAAAAGGTCTAGAAATGGGACCTTGAATTACCAGAAAAAAGTGTTCATGGGGAAGCAAAGCTCCGAAGATTGGAGCTGTCATTTAGTGATGAATACAAGGAAAAGCACTGGAGAGAAGGTAACTCTTTTAGTTAAGCTTATTCTTGCCTCTCAAGAAGAATAAAAGGAATTTAATTAAACTGAGCATTTAGAACAGATCAAAGAGGCCTCTCCTCCCCAGTGTACAGTTAATGATGAGATTTTCTCACTACAAGGTATAATTTTGGCCAGGGGTTACCCTGTGGCTGCTCCACCCACTCCCACTTCTGCCCATGTTTCCTCTTCTCCAGGAGCTTTTGGTGCTGTCCACTCTCCATGGCTGGCAACTTGCACAGCTCTGCTCCTAAATTCCACAGCAGCTCCCCATGCCACAGCCTGGGAAACCTCTGAATTATCCTGAGGGCTCATTTACTGCCAAAAATATCTGCACCCAGCAGGGAACTGTCACAGGCCAGCTGCAGGGCACCTGCCAACACGTCCTTCTTAAATCACTCTGTCTATCTGATCTTGAACATAATCAGCTAGAGGGCCCAAATTATTGACATAATACTGATTTTCACCTCCCTTGTCTGGATTTGAAACTTCAAGGCTGTGATTAATTAGGCCTCTCTACTACCCCTGTGTCTGAGGTATTATTGGCCTGATGCCTTGTGTAACCTTTTGAAGGTGACAGTGCAAAGAGCTGCCCAGGATAAACCTCTGAGTCTCTCTTGAAAACCACACTGCTCCTTTAGCCCACATCCTTTCACAGCAAAGGTTCTTCCTTAGACTTCCATGAATTCCCAGGCAGGGCACTGCACTTGCTGCAAGCATAGAAAAAAACCACCAAACTTCTTGTAATCTCACGTCATTTTTGGCATTCCAGTGATTCTTGGCCAAGACATTTTGACAAATTTGTCAACCCAGCTGTGTCTTACACCTTTTCTTGTGACTAAACAGACAATTCCAGCTTGGTTGAATGAAGTTTTGGAGGGACACCTGGGATCAGAGTGATTTAACACTGTTTTCAATCTTACAAGGCCTTATGGAAGCTGAATTAGAAGGAGAACACAGCATTCTCCTTTTTATCAGGAGCATTGCTAAGGTGCAAAAGCCCACAGGAAGCCATGAAAAGTTGTGTTGGCCTTGACCACTCCAAAGTTTGGATTGTCCCTTTTGAGTGCTTTAGCAGTAATTGCATCACAGAATTGTCTCCTCAGTGGTTCAGGAATTACATTTTTTGCTTCCTTGGTGCATCTTCATGCAGCTGTTATGGAATTCCTGTTATGGAATCACAGAATGGCCTGGGCTGGAAGGGACTTTAAACATCACCTCATTTCCATCCCCTGCCATGGGCAGGGACCCCTTTCACTATCCCAGGTTGCTCAGAGCCCCATCCAGCCTGGCCTTGGGCACTGCCAGGGCTGGGGCAGCCACAGCTGCTCTGGGCACCCTGTGCCAGGGCCTCAGCACCCTCACAGGGAAGACTTTTTCTAATATCTCCTGGTTTCAGCCTTTTGCACACTACCAGAAACACAGTTAAAGACTGCAAGGTAATGAAAATATCAATTTGTTGGCACACCTTCTTGGGTACAGTGGCTAAATTTGGGACACACTTTATTTCTTTATTCCCACTGCAGAGAGGAAAATGTAAAGTCTTGAACTTCAGAATGTTACCTGAATGCCATTTTTTAACAATTTAGGTCCTTTCTGTGTAGAAAGAGACCAGTGATAGTCAATGCCTTGGTATTCTGCCCAGAGCAGCTGTGGCTGCCCCATCCCTGGCAGTGTCCAAGGCCAGGCTGGACTGGGCTCTGAGCAATCTGGGATAGTGGCAGGTGTCCCTGCCCATGGCAGGGGGTGGGACTGGATGAACTTTAAGGTCCCTTCCAACCCAAACCATTTTAAGATTTAGGTGATCACCTTGAGCAACCATTGATTTTTCTAAAAGTGGGTGAATGTTTGTACTCAGTGAAAACCAGGCCCCATTGCAGTAATACCATCTTAATTCTCCAAGGTCAGCAACACACTTGGAAAATCTCTATTTCTCTTTTTGCTCCTTGTCTTTTGCTCTGATGAAATTCCAGAAAAGAGGGCAGGGACAATATGGGTCATAGAACAGGAAAAGACAGTGATGTTTATGCTACCAGGGTCCTCACCTGACTGTTTTTTTCAATAGAATTTATTGGTAATGATCAATTTACAGCTTGAAGAGTTAAATACAAAGTCCTGTGCAGTCCAATGCCCAGTAAATGAATGCAAATAGAAATAACACCATTATCTTCTCTAATACCAGTTAGCCTCCCATAGAAGTCTGAGGACAAGGACCCAGACACAGAGGGAACATCTGCTGGACCCTTGGTGCCAGGGTCTAGGCAGCAGGAGTGGCACAAGGGATATTTCTGTTGTTGCTTGACCTGCCAAATACTGAACAAATAATCAGAGGCATCGGTGAGCAGTTAGATTACTAAGAGGAAAAGAAAAGCTAAACTAAATCAGCAGGGATCAAGATAAAAATTATTGATTGTGTGCACTGCCAGTACTTACAAGAGATCTTGGGTTTTTTTTTTTTTTTCTTCCAGTGTAGTTTTGATAATTTTTGTAGGGTCTCACCCCATCTGTCACTGCTCTACTGTGTCACTCCATCTTACATCTCCATGCTGCAAATCCTCACTTGTTCTAGCTTCCAGAACCACTTTCCTAAACAGGAAGAGATTATCTGGCCTTGAGTTTTTGACTTTTTTTTTTTTTAATCTTTTGCAAAACAATAATTTCTTCAAGAAAGGAAGAAATTTGGCTCTGTGGCAACACCAGAGGCTGTCAAACTTATCAGCATAGACTGTTAAGTGTATTTTAATAATAAAGTTTATTTTAATTGTTCTCATCACAAGCATTGCTCAGTAATTCCACATTTGCATTGATGCACACTGAGGTCTGTTCAATTTATACTTTTCTATGTACACATGCCTGTATGCAATGTTTAAAAGAAACCATTGCTACATAGGTCAGTGATTTTCCCTTGAGAGTTCTTCAGAAGCAACATCCATTTTGCATGAGGAAGGAAGGGATTTTGAAAAGATTTTGCAGGGTGCTTTCCCTCTCTCAATTTGCTTTCTTCTTTGGTTTTATAAGCCCCTGGCAAGTTACCTGCTGGAGTGGGAGCTGCTGGGATATTCCAAGGGGTCAGCAGAGCTGGGCAGATAGGGTGACCTCGAGGCCAGCAGGAGGTAATGATCAGATTAGCTGAGTCAGAAAGGCCAACCACAGCTCTATTTATACCATGGCTCCCCTTCAGAGGAGCTCACCTAATCAGATCTGTCCCCAGGAATATGTTTATCCTGTCTAGAGCCTGGCTTTCAAAGCAATTTTTTTAGATCCCAGCTCCCTGTAAACCCAGGAGTGCTGAGATCCCAAAGGCCCTTTTGATTTCCCTCATTATGAGAGTGTTATGAAATTTAAATCCAGACTCTAAATGCCTAGTTTTAATCCAGATATGGAAAGCTGTGCTTCTGCCTCAACCCTGCTGTCAGCAAGAAAACCTTGCTCCAGTTCTTTCTGCAGAAACTGGTTTTTTCCACAGACTTGAACAATTTAGTCCCTCAGCTTTGAGGATCTACCCTGGATGGAGGATTGCTGCCCTGCAGGAGGCCAGGGAGGTGTGTGATTCCTGCCTGTGCTTCCCCTCGGCGCTGAAGGATGCAGGCAGCATTCCTGCCCTTCCCCAGAGGTGTGGTATTGACCTCTCTGATTTTTACATTCTACTGAACCACCCAGATGGCAGCAACAAAGCCCAAGCAGCTCAAAGCTTTCAGTGACCCAAAAATCTGAGGAGAAAGTTTGCTGAAGTCATGTATGAAGAGACAAAACAGTTCCCATCTCCTGCCTCTGAGGTGCAGCTTTCTCCCAGGCTGATTGCATTTGAATCTTTCCCCAAAATTAACCCGTTCTGGTGACCTGATTTGATGCTGTAAGGCATTATGTGCAGAAATATTAATGGATAGGTGTTTCTGGAGTTTTTTCCTCCAAAATCTGTGTTTGTGGGTCACACCAGCACATCAGGTGAGTTCTCTCCTCCTTCCCTGCCCATCCCAGTTCTGCAGGTGATGCCTTTTACAGAGAATATCACAGTGCAGCAGTGTCAGGCTAATGACTTAACTTCTCTTTGCTGTGTCTTTGCCAAAAACAAAGTCAACATTTTTGTTTGCATTTTGAGCAGTGCCTTTAAATCCTGGGTCTATCACATAAGGAAGCCAAAAGACCTGGGAAGGGTGAGGTTTTACCCCAAAGCTTCTGGAGATAGTCAAAGCACAGCTTTGGAAACAACTTTAATTGATAAGCCAAAAATCTGTGCTGCACTTCAGCAGCACAGAGGGAGCTGCACAGTTGCTATAAAGCAGGAAGGAAAAGTGCATCTCTCAGTAAAGCTGTTGGCTGTGCTTTGCTTTGCACTGCATTTGTATCCCTGCATTTGTCAGCTTTTCTTGCCTTTTGTTTTGCCAGGCTGTTTCTGCGGCAGAGAAGTCAATAAACACAAGTTTCAAGTACTTTTCAGATTGTGGTTATGATATAATGCTGCCATTAAATCCTTTTTTCCCCATATGCTGCCTCATCCAGAGGGATCTTTTAGCTTTTGTTGCGCTCAATTTTTACAGTGAGCCACTAAAAAGAGCAAGGACCAAGAAGCCCAGTTCCCAGAGGTGGTGATGGTACCTGAAGGGAATGGACAGCAGGTGGAAGATGGTTAAATCCTTGAGACAGCCCTGATGTCATTTTGTCCTCATTCTTTGTCCAAAAGATAAGTAGTAATCTGTGGCTCCAACTCTGGCTGGAAATTATGGTGCAGGCTGGACTGAAAACATGTTTCTGTGTTATCCCTGTGTCAGTCACCCCCTCCTTTTCTGATATGCACAGTATCAACACAAGGAGGGGAAAAGGAATTGTTTAGGGTGGGATGAGGTGTAACCAGGGGCAATAGGAGGAAACACAGCAAAGCAATGTCTAGGCTGACTATCAAGAAAAACATCCCAACACTGAAGCCTGAAGGGGCTGCTAAATATCTCCCAAAGGAAGCAGTGGTAACCTTTATCAATGAGTCATTTCAAACTCTGAAGGACAAAGCCCAAGTGTGGGGAATGGGTCTGTGCTGGGAGTGCCTGAAGGGTCTTTCCCTTTCCCCCTCCTGAGAGAAACAGAGCCTGAAAACACAGCCAGACTGGTGGTTTCCTAACACAGGCACACAGAGAGAAAAACAACATCCTTTGAGATTGGGAGCCTGGGAAGTGTTTTTTAAATTAGCTTCAATAACATGACAGATGATAACAAGTTTTTGAGTAATTTTCTTTCCTTTTTTTTTTTTTTCAGCCACGTGTGTCTGGCCTGGCAGGATCTTTCTTGTGAATTAATGAAACATCAAGGCTGCACTGCCAGGCAGATTGGAGTGGTGTGTTTCCAGGAGAGAGCCTGAGCTGGCAGACCCTCAGCTGCTACAAATCAATTAAGTCCCTCTGATTCCAGCAGAGAGGGCCACTGAGTACAGCTGCAGGATCTGGCCCATTCCACGCTGGAACAGAAAGACTGCATTCATTTTGCCGAGAGCTGGACTAGTTAAAATTTAAATGCTGTTAAATTTTAAAATCCCAATTTAATTTAAAATTCCCTTTGCAGTTTCTTTTAGTGACAGCATTGCTCATTTCTACTGAAAAGCTGAGACCTAACCTTTGGCTGAGACTGCCACATGAGGGTTTCACTGTCCTGTGGCCAGCAGATGTGATGTGTCTTGCCCTCAAATTTTTTTATGAGCCCGGTTTCTTGCTTCTCTTGGTCAAATAACTGTAATAAGAATAATCATGGAATCACAGAATCATGGAATCAAAAATGGGTTGGGTTGGAGGCACCTTAAAGATTCTCCAGTTCCAACCCCGTGCTACAGGCAGGGACAGCTTCCCCTGGACCAGGCTGCTCACAGCTCCATCCAGCCTGGCCTAAATAGCATCAAAGGTCAGCCAGAACTCCCCAAATTGCCTGAATCCCTGGAAAGCAGCAGCATGCCTTGGTGCTGGCAGGAGAGGAAGCGCAACAGAGAAGGAGTCCCTTGTCTATGGCACAGCCCTAGTGCCCAGGCAGGCTGCAAAGACTTAAAGTGCTTCTAACATTCATGGCCCAGCCCTACATACACTATGTGTGCACTGAAGGCTTCAGTTTTGGGAAGAGAGGATTCTGCCACCTCCCTGGACAGACTTTTGGACACGTTGCAGGGCTGTTGCAATGCTTGCATTTGTGGGGAGTGAGTTTGACTGCAGTGTGAAGAGAAGCCCAATGTCTGAGTGTGCAGACCTGGCTGTGTTTCCCTATGTCTCACATTGACATGTGAGTGTTCTGCCTTATTAAAAGTTATTTCATGGCATCTGCTCCCCAGTTAGCTGGGCATCAGTGAAGAAGAAAATCCTCCTCTCCCTCAGTTCATGGCTGTGAGGGAAGGGGTTGTCCTGGACAGAGAGCTGCAGAAAAAAGAAATGGAGAAGAGTTGGGAGTGGGGAAGGAGGCCAGGGGTTAAACCAAGAGGAACAAGGGTTAAAGGGAGCTTGGAGGGGCTGAGGAGGTATTGTTAGACCTGGGAGAGCTTTGCTTGTGCCCTAGAGGGCAGCACCACATCCCAGGCAGGTCTCTTCAGTTCACCCCTTGCTTTCTGTAAAGACGTGAGATTTTGAGCTTCCAACCAGCAACTGGGTTTGTAATTTGGCAAAGAAACTTGATAAAAAACAGGCCAACAACCCAAAGCATGTCATCACAAAGTGTTACAGCCCATGCATTTAGCACCTCGCTGCAAAGGCCAGCTGAGAGCCAACTTTCCAGTGTAATTTTCCTGCACATCTGCCAAGCAGCATGTGGAAAGAGCCATCTGTGTGTCCTACCAGGGCATTTCCCAGTCACAGCTTCTAGAGGGTAACTAAAAAACTGCCTGCTGTACATGCCATTGCTCAGAAGGTCTAGAGTTTTCACAAAAATATGAGTTAAAGCTGAGAGAACAACTGATGACTCCTGCTGTTCAGTCTGCTCTGTCTGGATGTGGAGCTAATCAGACCACTCAGCAAAATTAACATCTCCTAAGTACTTCATAATCCAATTTATATTTTAAAAATTTTGCTTTAAAGAAATAATAGGAGAAAGAAAGACAGGAAGAAATAACAGTCTATCAGGCACTGTTCATTAAACATTTTTGCATCAGGTGATGTCTTGGGTGACCAAGATCCTGATGATGCTTACAGTGAAATCTCCAAATGAGTGATTGCCCACAGGAACAAGTGATTAAGGGAAATGGTGCATTGCCTATCCCTGGGAACACTGGTCCGGGCTGAGCTTCTTTTTGGGATGCAGGCTTTTGCCAGGCACATCTTGTGCAGCTCAGAAGAATGTCTGGAGGAAAGTCCATCTGCAAGAGGCCAGACTACATGATCTAATGGTCCCTTTGGCCTTAGAAGCTTGAGTCACTGAATTGGAATCTGTGAAAAAAGTGTCCCCAGCTGTGGGAATGAACTGGCTCGATTGCAAATAGGTCAATTAAACTCAAACCAACAACCCTCTGGGGTCGTCATAAAGTCCACAAATTGGACTGAAAGGCATGTAAGTATAATTAAACTTCTGTAGTTTCAAGCTAATGCAAAATTTCTCACTTCCTGTCCAGCACTCCTGTGTGATGTTCCTGTGCTTGCCTAAAAATCTGATGCATTATTATCATGTCTCTCCACAAAGGTCTCTATTGGGAGGCAGTGTGAGTGAGGCTGGAGCTGGACTGGCCAAGTGGAAGGTCCATCCTGCTCTGGGCAGCCACAGATGTCCCCTCCAGGTGTTAAGCCAGGTAATTCCCATGGTGAGCAAAGGAGGGACCCTGTCACCTTCCTTCCTTCCTTTGCTTTCCTCTCCTCTCCCACTCCTGACACAAATCCAGCCCCTGTGCTCTCACCTGCTCCTTCTCACAGCTTCTCATCCCCTCTCCCCCTCATCCCTCTCCTGTTTCTCCCTGTCTCCTAGTTCACTTTAAAACACACAGCTTCTCCAAAACCTTAGGAATTGGATTTTAGAGAAATCAAACACTGCCTGAGCCAAGTCAGGCTCTGATGTGCTCTTTTTCTGGGACAGAGACAATCAGCTATGGAAATGCTGTAAAAAGCTAGGTGCCACAGCAGGATGGGCTGTGAGCTCAGCCCTCTGGAGCTGAGCAGGGCCAGACCCAGGCAGGAGCAGAGACTGGCTGCAATGTTCACAGTGCCATCTTTTGGATAAGGTGGAAAACTGTTCTCAGAGCCATCCAAAAACTCTCCAGACAACCCTCCCAGAGAAAATGATGCTTTTTATCCTGGCTGTTGCCAAAACCACTGCCTTGATTCCCCTTGGAGTTTTTATTGGGAGGAGTTATTCTTCCCTTCAAATTTGTGGTGTGTCTGCACTGCATCCAGCTCTCTCCAGTCAGCAGCATTTCAGCAGTGCAGCACAGGGAAAATCACTTTGGAAAGGTTTTCTCTGCAGGAACTCGGGTGTCTGATGGAAACCTCTGCAGCTCCTGATGCTGGAAAGCCTGACCACAGGCAGGAGCAGCATGGATGCAGAGGGGGCAGCAGTTCCAGGATTTGCCTGGGCTGGTTCAGCTTTAGGGCTGAAATAAGGAAAAACTCTAAAACCCCAGTGTACCCTGGATGTAATCCTATACCCCCCCACGCAACACCCCAGTGATGCTGTGGTGGAAATGAACGCTGCATCTCCACTGGGCTTTTGAAATTCCATGAAAAAGCCAATTCCTGAAGGGGCCTTAACTGAGAATACACTCATCCTCAGTAGTCATGCTAATGTTAACTGTGTCTGAGCCAAGATTCTGTAAATCCAAGTCAGGTCTGTCTCTTGTGCCTAATAATATGAAGCAAGAAATAGCCTAGCCTTAGAAAAGCTGTGGGGTTTGGCCTGAGCCCATATCGATTATCTAGCTCAGAAATGAGCCCAAACTTCTGGTTCTTGCCCAAACAGCAATCATTTTGGAACTTCCTGCCTACAAATCAGACTGGCAGATACTGGGTGTGCTGAGTTTGTTCAGGCTCACATCTTCCAGTTTTAGCTGAGCTCCCTTTTGTTTACAGATACTTTTCTTGAGCAAAGTCTTTTTCTGGTTGCATGCTCTTCATGGAATCAAAATACTCAAAGACTTCTAGAGATTTTCTTTGTTCAAATCCTACAGCCATGAAATTAATGGCAAGATGCAGCTGATTTTATTGTAATCAACTTTTCCCCACTGGGAAACTCTCATCTTTGCAGTAGCTGCTAGAAAGCAATATGATGAAGCAGAGGGTGTTCAGCCAAACCATCCCATAAATGGGAGCTTAGCAGAGATATCTGAGCTACTTCTATCAGCTCAGTGAGGAGAAATTGTAACTGTCTGGTCACCCCTGTGTGCCAGACTCTGTCATTGACCTGTAGCATCTATTGCTCCAGTCCCTGATTGTTCCCATCAAAATCAGGATAAATAAAGCTGGCAGAACACAGCCTGGAGTGCTGTCACCCTGAGCAGAAGGTTAGGACATCTTCCCCATGTTTGTATTGCTGAAAAAACCATCACCAAATTGCCATCACCAATTTTAATGGATTGGGGTGTTCGTCACACCTTTGGCATTCTGTACTGTCCCACAAGTCAAGTGATTGTTGAGAGAACACATCACACTCTGAAATCCACCCAGCTGAGTGTCCCTCTCCTATTTGGCATCTGCTTTCATTTGCTGAATGTTAATGAAAGGATTTTGGCCACACAGGTGTGTGAAATCTGCCTAGAGAAGCTGTGGCTGCCCCATCCTGGATGTATCCAAGGAGCTGGATGGAACTGTGAGAGCAATCTGGGATGTGGAAGGTGTCCCTGCCCATGGCAGGGGGTGGAACTGGATGATCTTTAAGGTCCCTTCCATCCCAGACTACTCAATGGCACTGTGATGCTGTGGCAGCAGGGCCTCTCTCAGCTCCCTGTGCCAGCAGAACAGCCCTGTCTGGAGGCTGCTTCACCTTCTCATCCCTATTTCCCTGCCACATTGAAATGGAGGTGGGGGCTAGGGGGTGGAAACACCTTCATTTGACATGGTGGCATGGAATGGAAAGCTCTTGAACACAGCTGCTTTCCATGCAGATGGAAAGCCCTTGGATTTGGAGAAGGCTGCTGCCCAGGCTGGATTAGTTTTCTCGGGACTGAATGCCAGGGAAAGGGCAAGGTGTTTTTCACCCAGTGAGGAATCAGTCAGTGGAGGGTACAGGTGCCTTTGGGATAAAATGAGGTTTCTACTGCAGGCCAGGCTTGGGCAACTGAGACTCCAAAAAACCCTTGTGAGTGAAGGAGTACACTGAGCTCTTTAGTGGGCTTTGAGGGAAGCCCTCAGACAGGTGGGGACATGCCTGTGCTGTTCTGTGTGCACAGGACCCTTTCTCAGCTGTTTCCTTGGTGTGCTGGCTCAAGTGCTCTTTGCTCCCTTGGGAAAATGTGTGCATCTCTCCAGCTTCACAGAGCCCTGCAGATGTGGGTTGGGCACTGGGACACTAGAGATGATGTTCTGAAGGCTTGTCACATGAGCAGGTGAGAGAAAAAACCCTCCTGGGTTTCACAAGGATGATTTTGTTGGGAAACACCAGGTCCTGAGTATGGATGCTGTTTGTGTACAGCAAATGTGGCCAGGAAAAGCGACCCCAGAGACCCATTCAGATGAAGTGAAGCCTTAGAGAAAACCAGTCCAGCAAAAGGAGTTTTATTAGGTCTCTGTGGCAGATGGATTGAATTATTGGAGCTTAAGCTAAAACAAACTTTCCATGTCAGACACTGAGTTTCACTTCATGAGGACTAAAGAGTTTTGGGCAGTGTCTCTTTAACGTGCTGCTGAAGTTTGCACATGCAGATACACGTATTTGGGGCTGCTAAAATAATCCTGTGTGTGAGGGAAACTGTGAGCAACTGAGGGAGAAAATGACACTTTTGAAAGCTAAAATATGCTTCCAAATCTGATGCATGCCTTGAAAAACAAAAATGTTTTATCACTGAAGATTCCTGGCTTTTGACCAGATGCCAATCTGAATCCAGTTTTGCAATTTCTACTCTGCCATCTCAACTCTTGCTCTCAGAGGGATTTTTGCCTGAGTGGGAGCAGGAGAGCTGGGCCCTTGGACAGCAGAGCTGTTCCTCCCCCAGGGACAGCCTGAAGGGCAGGGTACAGCAGAGATTTCTCCTGCAAATGTAACAGTACAAACATCCACATCCATGTAGGAAATCAGCTCACCCTGGCAAAGCACCCCATGCATTTTTGGCTCTGTCTCTTCAACAGTCCTGCTTAACTTTACTCTTACTCCTTGAAACAAAGCTTTGCACATGCTTGTGTAATTTGCAGGACAAGGGGCATCACTTTTTATCACCCAGAACCCAAATAACAACATTTTGCTCTGTAAGTCTCTGTGCTCTTGAGCTAAATGCTATCAATTCAGCTGATGGAGTTAACAGCAAAAATGTAGAAGGAAACAGAGCTGGCGAAATAGCTTGTGATTATTATCTGAGGGCTGGGTGGAGTAGCTATTGGAGAGGCAGCAGCTGGGAGCTGGCTCTCCAGAATAGAGAAGCTGACATTACAGAACTTCTTTCCTTCTTAAATGCTTTGGTTTTCTCTGAACTTTCCAACTTCCCGGGAGGGGTGGCAGCTATGTGACCTGCAAACCCCGGGGAGACTGATCCCAGCTTTTAGATCAAGGAACTCAAAGTGACAGTGGGAACAGAGAGGAAAAACAAATGCTTCTTTTAAGGAATGCTCTTTGAATTATTTATCTGCGTGTTACTGAAGTCTGTTTTGTTCCTCACTGTACTAGCTATGAAGCAGTCTAATTACAAGTACTTAAGACACAAATAAATTACCTTGCCAGCCATGATAAATGCTGCTTGTAAAGCCCAGAACTGTTTCTGCAACTGCAGCCAAGAAACCTTAATAGACCACCTGTTAGGTGAGATGCAAAATTATCTCTAGCATGTTATGAATAATCTGAATTCCAAGGAAAATAGGTGGTGCTGTTTTAGTGTCCTGGAAACTTGTAGCCATCCTTATCTGTTTGCTGCATACCTAGTGCCAGTTCCTTAGGGATGCAGCAGGGCTCATCTTTAACTGGATGCTTTGAGAACCAGCAAGGTACCATGAGGACAATCTGGCTTTGGGTGGGTGTCCAAAGCTTTCCTGCTCAAATGCCATGAAAGCTTTGTACTTGTTTTTTCCTGATCCCCAACCCTTAATTCTTTCTTTCCAGCCTTCAGAAGGCATTTTGTGACATCCCCACTGATACACAGTGGTTGTGCTGGGGAAAATGGCAATGTAGAACATAAGCATCGACACAAAGCAACTCCACGGGTAGAGGTGATGTTGATAGAGGCAGACTTCTGAAAATACCTGACAGACTTCAAATGTCAGGTTGCTTTTTGAGCCCTAAGTAAACCTGCTTAGACTGCTGCTTTTGTTTTTTTATAGCTGCAAATTTAACTCCTTGCAAAGGCATCCTGTGATCTTTCAGCTCAAAGCTGCGTTTGCGTTTTAGACACAGGCTGTCTTCCAAAAGCATCAAAATGGCCTGGAGCAAAGGTCTGTCATGGCTGAGGAAAAAGCACAGTCACAATGGGATGCCAAAAAATATCTCCCTGAGGCTGCAATTGGATGCAGAGCCGTCAGCCCAGGCTGCAGCCAGGAGCTCTCTGGCCATGAGCAGCTGGGAGGAAACACCACTCAGATGCAGCCAGAGCCACAGGTCTTACATCTAAAATTGCCTCTCTCTGGGAGGAGAAACATTTTCAGCCTACACAGACTCCTGCCTGGTCATACAAAGCAATGCTCTGGGCTCCAAACTAGGCTTACACAGGGCAAGAATGGAGCCTAGACTTGGTGTGAGATATAGGAAAGAACTGGACCTGTGTAGGGTGCCAAGGGATGGCCACCTGCTCCCTGGGGTGCTACCTCAATCCCTTGAGACACAGCCTCGAGCACGGGCTGAAGGAGGAGGCCAGGCCAGCACGGGGTGTGTTAATCATCCTCTGTTTGCACTGGGACCTCAGGGACGTGGGCAGGGCTGTCCCTCCATCATCCATGAGCAGGAATTTGCACTGTAAAACATTAAGCTGAGCTTTCACAGAAGTTTCTGAGGACTTTTTTCTGGGGCACACTGTGCTGCCTCAGCAGTTTTGGGAGAGATGCCGGCGAGCTGACAGTGCTGAGCAGCCGCAGGCCCTGCTTGCAAGCTCTGCTCTGCATTAGCACTTCATGGGGAGAGGCTGCAGGAGAGGATTACCTGCTGCAGCTCCCTGGGCCCAGCACCAGCTCCATCTCACTCATCTGCCTGTCTGCAGCTCCGTACCTTGCCTTCAGAAGCCACTTCACACACCAGCACAACGAGGGCTTTCTGAGGATGCAGTGATGTCCTGTGGAAGCATCTGTGTAGAGCATTTGCCAAAGCAGAGGTCAGGGGTGTTCTATTTCCTGCAGAAAACCTGCAAATTGAGTGGCAGCCCCTGAGATCAGCTCAGCACTCAAAAGGATGGCATCAGACTGTTAACTCTTGTGGCACGTGGCACCACTGCTCTGGTTTCCTGAGCAAAAGAGTCCGCTCATGTTGGCAGCAGTGAGCAATTGGCCAGGGCCTTTCCCTGCCCTGAGGTCAGGCAAGCGTGCCCAGAGCCCAGCTCACATCCTCAGGGCTGACCTCATTTTCTCCTCAGCACAGGGTGAGCTCACCCATTCTGCGGTCAGGACCGGCCCCAGGGCTGCCAGCTGGGACATCCCAGGGCACCGTGGGCCAAAACGGTGGCAGGGAATGTGTAACACTTAAAAACCACATAGGGGCTCTGTGTTGCTGCTGGAGGCCGTGCCTGGACTCTGGTGCAGATATCATCACTAGAAATAAGAGGAGAGATTGAAGTGATGCTCTGCTCAGTTATAAATGAGGTAAAAGCTTAAATTATTGCCTCTTTCCCCAGGAAACTACGCAGGCTGCCCAGGAAGAGCCTTCTGTGCTACAGGGGTGTGTGGTCTCTCCTCCCTGCCTGATCACAAATTGATGGGAAATGTGGCAGGGGCATTGGGCACAGCAAGACTCATCTCTCCAAGCCCAGAGAAGATGGCAAATTCACAGCTGTGCCCTGTTTCCAGAGGAGCTGGCAGTGGAGCTGTGTGGTGTGGCTGAAGGCAGCCCCTCCAGTGAGCTGCCTCTCCATAATCCTGGGCAGGCAGAGGTCAGAGCCTGGCAGAGCTGCTTCTCTGGGATGACAGCAGCGTGACTCAGGGACAGCTCGGTGTAACCTGCTTATTTATAAACTCTGTGTACAAAGATGATTATTTTCCCCTCCTTGCCTGCTGCAGACGCTTGCAGCAGGGAGAAGCCTCTTTGCTCTCCCTGAACAATGAGTTCCCCAGTGCTGACAAGGCCTTGCTTGTCCTTCCCTTTGCAGGATCCCCTCGGACATTTGCAGCCCTGGCAGTGAGGCACACACCCCCAGCTGTGGGCAGGACCCTGTTCCGGGTGGGTATCACCTCAGGCATGACCTGGAGGGAACCAAAACCCTCAAGCCCCAAGCTGTGGCCCCTCCAAAAGGCCACACCCTTCCAGTTTCCACCCAACTCATCATTCCTTCCCCACCTTGTTTTTTTCTGAGCACTGCACCAGTGTGATCTGTGTAGCCCAGGAGGCCAAGTCTCCCCTGCCTTGTGTTAGGTACCGGAGTGACAGCACAGGGCAGGGTTTCAGACGTGCCAAGGCAACGTTCATTTGCCTGAATGGAGTCATGCAGTGCTATTTTAAGCAGGTTTGTTTACCCTGCCCAGCCTCTGACTGGCTGGTTTGTACATCCCACAGTGCCCCACACACCTGTATGGGCCTGGCATGTCTGACACACAGTCCCTGAGAGTCCCATGCCCTTCTGGACTGGCAGGGAAGGGCTGGGCATGACACACACACACACACATGACTAAAATAGCACAAGACACCTCTGCTTCAAGCAGCTAAATCCTTGCCACCACCAGCTTCAGTGTTTCCCTGGCTGGCCTGCACAGTCCCACTGGCCCTGCTGCTGAAGTCTTGCTATCAGCGGCTAATTTTCCACGTCAGTGCAATTTTAATTTTCCAGAGTTGTGCCTAGTTAGGACTGCTTATTTATTGTTCCAGCAAGAGAAGGACTTGATGAAATGTTCAAATCCATATATAATAAAGTTCAGGATAACCTGGCACTCACAAGAGCATTGAACAGTGTAGAAGTGCCAAAAGCAATATAGGATTTGATAGGACTTGGCTGGCTGCATGATGTGAATACTTATAGATCACAGATCTGAGTCTTTGTGGCACTGCCTCTTGTGTGGTCATTTATTATGCCTTAAAATGGGTGAGCAGTCAGCCTTTGAAGTACTTCATAGCAACTTTGCAGTGGAATGGGTGACTGAAAAATGTGTTATCATTTTGTACTTTAAATCTATTAATGAAACAAGACCTTCCTACTCTAATGCTTGCATTTTCTCATGACCAGGTCCTGGTTCTATTTGCCTTTTGGAGGAAAACTGGCATCTCTGGAAGTGAAGGCACAGGCAAAGTGATAAGCCTGCCCTGCTAGTGGCACCACTTAAGTAGGTTTTGATTACAACACAAGAAGTGTTTCATTACACAAACCAACTGCTGTTGTGGTAGCAAGAGCAAATGGAGCTGTGGTCTGGGTAGGTTTCAGCTGGTGAGGCAGTGCATCTCCACGGGTACCATGGTGGTGCTGCTCCAAAAGGCTTCAACTTCTGGAGCTCTTTGACATCAGCAGGAAGCAAAGCAGGGAAAGGGCAGCTACACAAGAGTTGCTCCCCATTCTCAACCTGCCCTGCTCAGACAGATTGGCTTTTACTGCTGGGGTGGAGGGTCAGTGCTCAAGATGCAAAAATGCACCTCCTTGTTACACCCAGGGAGCACTGAGACACAGGATTCAAATCCAGCCACAGCACCACCACCCTTAGGCATGTGGGACATCTCTGAGGTCAAGGAGACTCGAGGGTCAGTGCAAGCAGCCAGCTGGCCCTTGGCAGTGGGACTTTGCAGGGCAGCAGGGTGGGAAGGCCCTGTGCTGGAGCAGATTTTGCCATCCACCCTCCCTCAGGGCTGTGCCTGTTGGGAGCTGCTCAGTCTTTGGCTGCATAAGGAGCAAAGTTTGGTGGTTTGGAAGCAGAGGTAGAGGGGCAGTGGGGGTGAGTCTGACAGAGGTTATGTCACATTGCCAGAGCAGGGAAAGGTCTGGCCTTCAGCCCTTTACCAAGTCTGGTCTGCAGAGGTGTCTGTCTGAGTTCCTTACGAATCGATGTCATTTCTTGAGGATGGAGATCAGAAATGGCTCAGTCTTGCAAGGAAAAAAAAAATTAAAAGCCTGGACTCTTTGCCAGCTGAAATGGGAAAATCAGGAGAGAGGGAGAAACACAAACTGCCCATTTTAACTGTTATTTACACAGAACCCAGCTACACAATAGGCTGTGAATGTATTCCCTGCTTTTCTCTGGCACACAAATGCAACAAAGCCGTGAAACGTGAGTTAACATGACAACTGAGACCTGCAGCCTGTGGGTCTCAGCATTTTCACTCTGTTTTCCCTTCCCTTGCCCTCACAGCACACAAGCCCTGTGAGTGCCCATCGGGCTCAGACAAATCCCTGGGGCTGCAACAGGAGCAGAACCCAGAGGTTCCACCAGCAGCATCAGCAGCTGCCATTCACTCTCATTTATGGCCCAGCTCTTCTTGTGAATGGCAGAGTCTTCTCACTGAAGGCCAAATACCAAGGGAGCTCTGGATGTGTTTAAACAAAGCTAAGCTTAATTAGAGCTGCTCAGAAATTAAATGCAGGAGCAGAGTGTATTCATGTTTGCACTCAGGAATATGTAAGGCTCTCGGGCAGATCTAGGTCACCTCAGCTCAAGCAGAATTACTGGGGAGCTCAGCGTGTGGGCAAACATTGTTCTGCCTGTTCAGTGGGAAAGGGGTAACTCCTACAGGAGCTGCAATTCCCCCACTCACAGCTCTGGCCTTCGAAGCTGGATGAGGCACAGCCAATGCCAAGAACTCAGAAACCTCGAGCTATTGTTCATATAACAGATTCTGGCTCCTTTTGCCTTTTGGCTTGTCTTCTCTTTCTCTCTCTTCTTATGTGTGTCTCCTTTACAGCTACCACAATGCATTTTCCTGCACAGTCATGAGATGCAGAATCTCTTTCTTTTCTCTCATTAAAGCTGGGAGTCTGTTATAATCATATGACTCACAGTGCCATAGGTCTAAGAAAAACACCCCACACAGGAGCCTTGAGATCAATCCTCATGTATTTCCACCTCCAAGTTGTGCTGCTGAGCTGTTACCAAACCAAAAGGGTATTTTATATCTGAAGGAATACTCAGGCTTTTGATTTTGTCTGCTGCCTTTCAAGCAGCAGTCTGCAGGTCTGGGCTCTGCTGCTTGCCCCTGAGTCACTGTTTGTGTGGATCCCCTTGTTTAGGTGAGCCTGGGATGTGCTGTGGTGGGTGCAGCACCAGTCTGGAGGCACAGCAGCAATCTCAAGGCCCCTCAGATCAAAGGTTTGGGAAAGGTCAAGTATTTAGTGTGGATGGGCTTTGGGGTCAGCTGGGCTTGAGGTAAGGCCCTGTGACTGCTGCAGGGCATGGGAAATCTCTCTCCTGTTTGCCCAAGAGATTCCTCCTCCTGCAGGCAAAGCAGAGAAGGTCTGTGTCTTGCAGAAGAATCAGGGCAACTCTGTAAATTCCAGGAGCTGTCAAAATTCTATATTTTCATGCCAAGAAATATGAACATTTTCTAATATTATTTCAGGGTGAGTCAGCAAAAACTCGACAGCAGTCCTCATTCTTAATTTGGCCTCATTTGAAATAAGATATTCAGCTTGCAGCAATGATAACAGACCTAAAGGAGGTCTCTGAACAGACCCTTGGGATATGAGAAAGCAAAATCTTGCTCCCACAAAGAATCTTACTTTTTTTTTCTTTTACCTGGCAGCTCTTTTTCAAAGGGAAGCTGTGTTCTCAGAAATTTTTGGGCAATTCCAGTGAATACACAACACTCGATTCTAGAAAGAGCAGCTCTGCAAGAAGCAGGCGCTCAGGGCACCCTCCTTTCCTATTTTTTTAAATCATAGACTGGTTTGGGCCAGAAGGAACGATAAAGATAATCTCATTCCAAACCCCTGCCATGAGTGGGGACACCTGCCACTATCCCAGGTTGTCCAGAGCCCCATCCAGCCTGGCCTGGCTCTGTGTGCTCCAGTGCCTTGTGCCGAGCTATGGTTTGCATAGTCATCACTGACTGTGGTGTGACACACCCTTGACACCCCCAGTTCCAAGGGTCTTATTTGTCCTTCCCACCCCTTCTAATTCCAGAAACACATCACCAGGACGTGCTGCTTGTGGGCCAAATCTGAATCCTCTCCAAGGCAGGGGGACAGCACCGTGCTGAGCATCAGCATCAGAGTGGGGAGGTGAGATCTTAGAATTTATCCTTCCTTTTGGTCCAGATACCCACAGATTTAGTCTCCTTTCCCACATCTTTTTTTCAGCACATAAAACCAGGGTCCATTTCCATGACATTCTTTTATGACCTGCAACTGAAATGGAGAGCACATTTTCTAGCCAACAGGATAGAGGCTTTGCTTCTCAAAAGTAGCAACTCAAATTCCCCTGCTGAGGCTCACATTTTTACAGTAAACCCTTCATACCCTTTTTTATACCCTTCATACCCTTTTTTATACCCTTCATATCCTTTTTCTCCTTGCTAAATTGTTCAGTGCATTAATTATGATTATCATCCAATATACAGAATGTATTTACACAGCACTTTGGGGTGAAGAAGCAAAACACAATATACCAATTACAATGAGTAATTTTCACACAATTTGCATAGACCTAGATCCTGTGAGATGGGGGGCACGGCTTGAACTTTAGAGCCTTCTCATTCAGTTTTCACTAATAACTTTTCTGAGGCACTGAGGGTGGCCTCGGGAACGAGGGGTGGAGAGCAGTGCAAGGCACGGCAGGATAAGGCATGGCCAGGCCAGGGCTGGTCCAGAATGGGGGATCGGGGGGTCGCAGGATGGGGGATTGGGGGATCAAGGGATTTGGGGATAGAGGGATCAAGGGATGGGGGGAAAGGGGGATCAAGGGATGGGGGTTCAAGGGATGAGAGACTGGGGGATCAAGAGATGGGAGGATAGAGGGATGAAGGGATGGGGGATCGGGGGATCAAGGGATGTGGGGATCGGGGGCCCGGGGGTCGCGGTGCGCTCCCTCTCTGGCCGCTAGGGGGCGCTGAGGCCCTGCCGGGCAAACGGCGCCGCTCGCCCCGCCCCGCGCACTCAGGCCACGCCCTCTTATGCAAATCTGGAGAGCGGCTCGGCCAATGGGAGCGAGCCGCCGGCGTTGTATTTATAGCCGCTATTTAAGGAGCCGCGCGAGCCGCTCCCGGCGGGAGCCGTGTCACGGCCCCGATTCCCATCCCCGACGCTCATTCCCGGCCCCGATCCGCATTCCCATCCCCGATCCCCATTCCCATCCCCGATCCCTGGCACTGGGACCGCTCCGGCCTCCCGGCACCGGCCTCCAGTTCACAGAGCGCTGGTGAAGCCTTCCCCAGCCGCTCTGAGGGCGCCGCGGGTTTCGCTTTCAGCCGTTTCACGGCCATTCCCTCCGGAGCACAGCTCAACGCTGTGCCGAGGCTTTTTGCCCGCCCCGCCTGATAAAGGTTGGGCGGTGAGGTTGGAAGGAGAGTCGGTGATGCCCCAGGGCTGGCGGAGGTGTCCCGGCATCTGTAGCTGTGTCAGATGGCAGAATCCCGGCGCTGCCAGGGCAGCAGGATTTTGTAGCTCTGGTGATCAAAGCCCGACTCGCCAGCTCACTCTCAGCCCTCCACAGAACAGACACACAGGGGTTTTCTGTCAGGAACAGCCGCTTTGTGTCTCCATAAGCTCCACTTGTCATTTGTCATACAGCTTGCAGTGCTACTGAAATCAGCCGTTCCCCTTCATTTGGAAACCCAGCCTGCTGTTTCTGGGTGTATTGTGTGTTTTCATACTCAGCTTTTCGTCTGGTTGGTACCTGTGCTTGTCTCTCCTTCCCACAGCACAGCTGAGTGCTGGTTCTGTGAATAAGAGTTACAAATGTCTTTACTCTTGTTTTAAAGAAAGACATCACAGAATGTGCAGGGCTGTAAAGGACACACAGGGATCATCCAGTCCAACCCCTGGCCCTGCACAGGACACCCCACAAATCTCTCCCTGTGAGTGTTGTCCAAAGGCTCCTGGAGCTCTGGCAGCCTTGGGGCCGTGACCATCCCTGGGGAGCCTGTTCAGTGCCCCAGCACCCTCTGGGGGAAGAACCTTTTCCTGATATCCAACCTAAACCTCCCTAAGCTGTTGGCCAGGCAGCCTGGATACTTTGCTAAGGTATCACAGAATACCTGGGTTGGAAGGGACTTTAAAGGCCATCTCTTTCCAACCCCACAGCCTGGATTGATCCCAGGAGCTGTCCTGACCCAAGTGCAGCACCAGCCCTTGGTTCTGCTAAACCCTGTGAGATTCCATGGCCCAGAGCTCAACCTTGCCTAGGTTTCTCTGGATGCCCTCCCATCCTTCAGGTGTGACAGCCCACCACACTGCACATAATTAGGAGAAGGATGTGGATGGGGCCAGGAACTGCTCCAGCTCTTACAGCTTGGCACAGCAGAGGCAGACTGACAAGTTTTCCTCCGGATTTTACTAAGATTTCCTTCAAACCAAGAAAAGAAGAAAACTCTACAGCAACACCATAGCCTACCTGTGTGCTGAGAGCTGGCTGCCAGCAGGGCTTTGGGTAGCCTCCTGTCCCTGCTGCCACTTTCTTGCCAGCACTCTGCCTTGATGGTGTTGCAAGGGCACAGATTGACTTGACCCCTGTTCTATTAGAGCAGGACAGTGGTTTCCAGGATAAAACTGTAGTGGATCTGGGAAAGGGTGAGATTTTGGGAGTAAATAATTTAAAAAGGCAACAAATGACTCATTCTTGTTGAGCATTTAAAATTACAACCAATGCCCATTCAATCAATGCAGACTTATTAGAAGAGTATTTTTAAGATCATGTGGGTCAGGCCCTTGAAGGAACTGTGTGCTAAAGTATTGTGATGGGTAACTGCATTTTACAGGGGCTTTCTGGAATTCTTAAGCTGCCACAGTGGGAGAGAGGGAGAAATGTATTTCATAGCTGGAATGTGCTTCAAGTAACCTGGTTTTGTTTAGTTGGGGTTTTTCTCTGTTTTTCTAACTGTGCTTTTGTAGACATCTGCTTGAGAATTGACTGCAATGTTCACGTGCAATTTTAAAGGTTTTGCTACCTTTAACCTGTGGTTAAATCAACAGAGAATCCCCGAATATAGGCAAGTTTACATAGCAGTGTGTGACCAGTGCATGGAATAGATGCCAGTAATTCTGTACTTTTTTCATGCTCTGGATTGTATTCCAGAATAAATGAGAGCACAAACCAACCAGATCCACAAAGAGTGGAGTCAGGCTGGGTGTGAAGCATCACCAGCAAGCACCATCTGCATGCTCACATTGGTCAGGAATATAAAGGACTCCCAAATCCCCGCCCCTCTACTCAGTGTGTACAAAGAAGGGGACTGCTTTCAAATTGAAAACAAGCAGATATCAGCGGGGAGCAAAGCACGGAAGGAGGCTCATGCCCATCCCAGCCGCAATGGGATGGAGCTGGGCAGCAGGGCGTGCACAGCTGTCCCCCGCGGCTGCTGAGCAGGAGGCTTTTGTTCTGCAGGGCAGGATCAGGTGGAGAGGCAGGGCCTGGGCTGGCACAGGGAAATCGAGCTCCATCTGTGGCCGAGCAGCCTGTGAGGGTGACTGCCTTTCTGCAAGGCTTGCGCTGAAATTCAGCAGCCCCTGGTGTGTCCTGGCAGGGACTTGTGCTTGTTGGTGAGCTGCCTGAATCCAGCAGTGATGCTGAGGCCCCCCTGTCCCTCTCCCAGGCACTCACCTGAGTGTGTTTGCCTGCCTGGTGTCCTACTAAAGTCTCATTCTAGTTATAACCTCTGATACATTTGTGGTTGGTTTGTTTGTTTGTTTTTAAATCACTACCCCGATGAAAATTGAATAGCTTAGAGAATGCCTCAGGCTGCTGATGGCTTTGGGAGCAGCACAACCTTGCTTCCCATAATTGTGTCCACATTGGGAGTTGTGCCAGTAAAGATCTTTTACTAAAGATATTGACTAGTAATCAATGTAGTTATACCAGTAC